TAATATTAGATTTTGATAAAATTCGAATTATTGAAAACCCTTTAGATTTAGACATTATAAATCTTATTAAAACAAACGCTTATTTTGCTCAGGGAATCCAAAAATGCCATAATATATAGGGTAGGTCATTTAGAAAAACACAACTTTGATACTTTTAGGGCTTTTGGGACACTCTGTACATTACAAAAATATTTTTAAAATGTGCACCCGATAGGCGTCAGTGGATTCATCAAATAATACTTTGCAAAAAGCAACCGGGCTAGCCGCAAACGTCCGTGCCGTATAGCGTGAATAACCCTGTATAGTTGTTGGTCTGCCTTATTTCTGGATGTATGCTGGATCTTTAGTTTAAAGTAAAATAGTCTCTCTAGAGCGCTCATTTTTCACCTAGTCTTTTACGATGCGAAGTTTCGAGTGGGAAAAGTTGCAAGTTTTTACACAAAAGGCCCTACTTTCAAGAAAAGTGTTAGTTTTGCGCGGTCCTACACATGAGGGCGTCTTTTTCGTCGTATTTTAAACACCAGTTAAGCTGCAGACCTCGTTTTCCTACCACTGGAAAGTGTTGGCAGTTTTCACAGGAAAAGCCGAAATATTAAGAAAACTCTGACTTGTTCTCTGACTGAGCCAAGCTGAATATTCACTCTGGCGCAGGAATTGCTGCTGAGGAGGTGCTGTACGCCTGCGAGGAGAATGAGGAGACGAACACGTCGTCGGAAATGGGGCTGGCCAATCCGGCCGTGCATTTCTTCCGCGGCCTGCGGCATCGCAACCTCTCGGCCATCCGGCACGCCACCCAAAGAGGCCTGCACCAGCTGCAGCAGCTGAACGCGCACACTGAAGCGGGCGATCCGCATGCCAGACGCGTCCATGGACAGACGTCGCTCGGCGTCCAGGGATTCCGCACAAATCCCAAAGGTAAACTACTCATTGTACCTGGAAGTTTTTACTAACACGTTGATTTCCAGACCCTGAGAGCCACATTTTGTTCTTCGACATCGAGGCGCTCATCATCGAGCTGTTGAGCGAAGAGTACGCGATGATGTCGCCCGGCAGTTTGGAGGCGGCCGGTCTGATCTCGCAGGCGGAATACCTGAAGGTGGCCGCTCTGACTCAGAGCGCCAGCCCGGATGCCCACAAGAAAATTGCTGGTAAGTGGCGCTTTCCGAATCGGTTCTCTTGGGCTGTGGGGGCGCTCTCATCGGCCCTCACTCACTAATTGATGTGTTTCATGCAAGACTTTTTCGGGAAGGTGAAGGATAAGGCGGAGAACATGGAGCGAATAATTAAAGAAAAGGACAAACACGGTAAAGGCTTGTGATTGACTCGTTTTGTTTAATTCGTTTGTTTGTCCTCATTTTGCTTGGATTTTGATTTGCGCAGTTTTCAATGTTTTGGGGGCAGGGTGGCGCTGTACAGGGTGGCCTGCCCTATTCAGGGCTTTTTCTCTATTCTAGAAACTTAAAGGTTTAAACTTTCGCTTGATGATGTAGGAACATATAGGGTGTCCCATTTAAAAAAGCTATTTATAAAAAGCGTTCTGCTTAAAACTGTGTATCAGAACCAGATTATCGCACGAGATAAAGTCACAAATATTGTGGGCCATCATGTACAGCGTGTATACTATAAATGTGTCCTGTATACCTCAGGTATTCTGGCGAAAATGAAAGAAGGCGCCGAGAGCGTGCAAACCAAAATTCAAGCAAAAGCCGAACTGGTGCTGAAAGGAACGGATATCAACAGAGGTAAGCGCTAGTAAGGCCGTAGTTGTAGTAGTCGTTAGCCCATTGCTGGCATGTAGCTGTAGACGTACGTGCCCGCTCGGTAAATGGCCCTGAAGAAGCGATAGAGCATGCCGCCTGCCACCATTGTGTTATTGATCAGCGCTTCAGTTCTGCGACAGAAAATATCTGCTGTGAATATTAAAATCCGGCTTAATTTTCGTCGTTTTCAATTATATTGTATCTTTTCGGGGTTTCAGTCAAAATGTGAAATAAAAATGTTCAAATCGTTTATTTCATATTACGTTTCGGCGAGACAACAGCGCCATCATCAGGTGATGATGACGCTGTTCACATTTTGACTGAAACCCGGAAAAGACACAATATAATAACAATTACACGCAGGAAAATAAATG